ACATCGTAATAATGCCAAGTGGCGGCAATACAATGCTAATCAGCCAGTGTCTTCTGGTGAGATTTAGCTACGATTCTTTTCATCATGCCTTTCCATATTAGATAAAGTCTTATGAGGTGTATTTGCCCTATTTCGTTTGAGGTGATGAATGACTGGTAGTTGAATTTTTCCATATTGTTGAGTAGAAGTGATGTGTCCGTTGAATTTCACATAGTCTTGCTTTTTACAAAGTCTTGAAACTCTACTTGTAAACGAAAAATTATAAATATATTCTATTTTTATAGCAAATATAAGTTTTCCCCATCGACAATCCCACCAAAAAATGTGATATAGGAAAATGCCTGGCCTTCTCTACAATTCACATCTGCCCTGTGATCCCAGGGTACTCGTAGTAATGTGACGTTATGGTTAAACTGTCGAGATTACAAGCCACACTTTCATAGTTCGATTCCTGCTGGAGGTGTTGATAAGATCTAGGCGAGGTCGAAATTGCAGCTAACCCTGGATGACAACAGCTTTTGTAAAATCACGTCAGCTCTACTCATATCATTGTAGGTAAATTCAACTACTAGTTCTTCATCACCTTAAATAAATAGAGTGAATACATCTCTTATAACTGATTTACTAGTAGTATTGAAAACCTACTTATATACAGGAAATGAAAGTCTTTACAATAATAAAGGACTAGGGAGATAAAATCTTGATTTTCTTTTTCTCTTCCCATGAGTGTCAACAATTGAATCCTGAATGGAACCACAGATTGAGCTTCTATGATTTAAGTTATCTTAGCCAGGGTTCATGGTATCGTACTGGCAAATGACTCAAGGAATCTTACCGATATTTTCATTGTCTATATCCAATAAATGAGTGCTGCCACCTCCTTCACGCTTGTTCGACTTCTTTTTCGCCTTCTGATCCTTGATTCCTAACAGCTCCAAACTCATGCAGCGAGAAAGGTCATGCACTAGCCTGTTCATTTTGCCATGCAAGGTTTCTGGCTTGGAGAGTTGAATGATAGTTTCATGATCATTGTAATTAGAATTCCTCATGGCATCCGTTAATGCATATACCAAGAGATCGTGTTGACTCTTAGGCAGCATGGAGGAGAGACCTCGATTTCTCCCTTTCCTGTAATTCTCATATGAAAAGGAGTCTGACGAAATTTGAGCCTTTTGATTGGTATTCTCCGGTTCCGACATCCTGTAAGCAAGTGCCCCATATAAAGTGTGCCCTGCAAAACTCCAAGTTCGTCAAAATTTAGGACTGGCGTAAGAGCAATTCATTCCTTTTTTAATGCTGTCAAAAAATTATTAATTATCGATCCATGACATTAAGATGTATTGCCTAAGTCCTCTCTCCTAGAAAATCTAATACGTTATATCAAGGCTTAAAATACATTTACTTCAAGTAACCAAATTTATTTATAGTGATTATTTTCATCAAGCCTACTCTTGCAATGCCTCAGGTTACAATAACTATGAATTTTTGAGAAGAGATTTTCTTGTGGTCCATGAATATTTGGCAACTGTGAGTAAGGAGGATGGAGTCCATATTTTATGGTGTAAATATAGCGATCTCGTTGTCTTGTTGTTTTCGGAGTATACGGAACTAAATTTATCTTAATGTAGTGATGATAAGGCCTCTATAATCTAACACAGTGATTATAAGTTGTATATTTTGTTCTTGTCCACATTTATTCCCTAATTGTTGTCATTCAACAGTCTTTATTTAAGCTAAATGTTTCCAAATTAAATTCTGGTCATAAAAACTAAGAATATAAACAGAATTATTCGAATAGATCATTTCACCTACAAATGAATATGAAAATATAATCGAAAAGAATTCTTCAATTGGTCTTATTGGAAGCAAAGATATTGGATTTGTGGTTGCTAATTTGAGTATAGATGTTTATCTCACCTGTTTTCACAGTTAAATAGTCTTCCCTACGCGGCAATATTATTTTAGTTTCAGGTGAGATCACATCACCAATTCCCTCCAACCAACTTTTCCTTAGATTGCATTGCCTTTTTACTGTTTAACCCATTTTTAGCCTCGCAATTATTAATAAATTTTATATGCCAGAATGCTTAATCAGCCAATGATGATTAAATTCTAATGGATGGAAAGTTGGAAAATTTTTCCGCTAATGAACGATCAGGAGACGTTAACGCACTCTTTGCACAAAGACTGAGAGAAACCTTGATCTTCAGACTACATTTGCGTAGGACCTAGTAAGAGAAATAGCAAAGTTGGAGGACTAGAATGTCCAAGAACGCCATCAATAAACATCTCATCAATTCTAGCAATCGCGTTCACAATCAATGTTGAGATAAGACATTTCTATCAACTTTCTGTAGTCAGGATGTTTGTGACGAGACTAAGGAGATCCTCGCTTTGTTACAGACTTGACTCTCACAAGGTCACCTTATTTTTCTTAATTGGCAGCTTTGCCCTAACCTAGTTAATATCAGCACTCTGAACTGGATTCGAACTTTGGTTTTGAGTATCTTGGTGACACATTAGCATTCGGCTGCACAGCCACAGGGACCAGTGAGTCATATTGTTGACGTGACCTTCAAGGCAGAACAGGACTCTTCCAAATCATGCTTATAATAGAATGTAGGCTAGATTAACATACATTTGTCAGTACAATTGGGGATATTACAGATGCCCTAGGAGAGCATGCTTCAAAAATATTCATTCAGTTGAGGGAAAACTTGCTTATCAGCCCTTAAATCACCAATAGCTAAATTGGGTAAATTCTTGTTCAAGACTAAGGGATAGATTCAAAACAAACGCATACCGAATATAAGTAACGTCACAGATTTTAATGCCATGTTGATGTTTTCCTCATCGGTATTCCGACAATAAATGTGATTGACTTGTGACTCAATGGCATCCGTAACTGCATAGCTACGTGACAATGTGTTGCTACGATGCGCAAGACCAGGTTCCGAATCCCTATGTAATTGCTTATGAGACTTAGGCGAAGTTGAATCTGAAAGTTTCCAAAAGATGAAAAAGACTTCTGAGAAGCAAAGTTACGCAATATCCAATATTGTCGTAAGGCCATCCTAGATCATTCTTGGAAAATATCAGCTATCAGTAGCCTTAAGAGCTTTATGGTAACTAATTTATTATTCTAGAATTACCGATATTTTAAAAAGCATACTTATACAGTATATAGTGCATTTGTTTGGTTTAAGCCTACATTTAGGATAAAATTCCTCGAATTTTTAATGAATTTCATAGTAACTATATTTGTTGATTGATTTTATATGAAGGAATAGTTGTAACATGAGATATAATTACCTTATTTCGCTCAAGGTAGTAGAATTTTCCCACAATGATATGAGTAGAGCTGACGTTTCCACCGAATTTCACATAGCCTTGCTTTCCAAAAAGTTGTTCTTTTGTCCGGAGTCCATAGTATGCATGATAATTTCCAGAGTCGGACTGTGGATTTAATAGTCGGCATCGTCGGTGAGTCTTTTCATTCTTAGTACCAATCTGCAAGGTGCGTTCCTCTAGGTATTCCTGCCAGTATGACCAAGTTGCGAAAGCAAGGTCAAATAACAACTTGATACATATCTTTTTATAATAATTTAGTATCCCAAATGAGTCTAAGTTACCTTAAGTCTTTTGCCTATATGCACCTCATCACATGGCGCGGGAATGAGTATTCAAAATGGAGAAATAAGTTTAGCATAATGAAGCATTGCTAGTTAAATTTCCCAACAATAATATGAGCAGGACTCACATTTCCATATCACTTCGCATAGCCTTGCTGCCCTAAAGATTATCTGGTAGCCTTGAAGACCTAATTGGGAAATAATAAAAAAGAAGCAATGATAAATGTTCTCCTCAGTGACATACCAGATAATAGTAACTTTTTATAAAATCCTTTACTAACTAAGTTTACATGAAAATTTTTGATTCCTAAACTTATTTATGCTCCAATAAAGTCACAAATCGAAGTTATAGCTCAAGAGTATATGCTACCTTTCAATCGCACGGTTTGATTTTTTCAATTTCGGAAAATATGGTCGGTAGACCATAAGAGCCTATAGGAATTCGTGGGTGAAAAAAACTAAACTACACCAGATTTTGTATTATATACCTATTTATTAATTATAATTAATTATATTATAGAAGTTGTTTGACCTTGTTTTCGCAAT